TTATTAAATTGGAACCCCATTATTTTTTTTTCATATTCTTAAAGTACATAAAAAAATAAGAAACTTTTGATGGAAATATTTTTTTTGTTCGACTTTTACTTTTTGAGTAACAGCTACTTGAAAATTTTGCTGGACGAAAAAAAAGTTGACCATATTATGGTTAGCTATAAAAAACGATTTTAGCCAAAACTTTTTCCCCACAAAACTATAATACTTTCGTCTGAAACGTTTCTTTTATAATAGGCGGTCTTTAGCTGTAACACTTTAATTTGAACACCCGGTATATTTTAGATCTTTGAAATCCCTTGTTTCAGTGGATAAACATTATTCTATCAAAACAGCAAAAATAATATTTAGCACTTAATTTTAAATAGGTACAATTTTTTTTTTAGAAATAATTCAGAACATTACTGTCAATTTCATAAATAAAAAAAAAATAGGAATAAATATTTTACTTGTAATTTTTAGCTAATGCATTCAGGTAGAATTTTCATGAACTATTTTGATAAACACTTAAAACCTAATTTAAAAGAAATACTCTCTTAAAACTATAATCTATGGATTTATAAAGATTATTTACATAGGTCCATAAATACATATTGATTACCTACCTGTTTAGAATTTTATTTTTGTTTTGATATAGAAAATAGGATTAAAACAATTCCAGGAAATAGGATATAAATTGTTTATTTATAAATAAGGGATTGATTGATTCATTGGAAATACCAACAGTTTACACATTGAGGCAGATAGTTTTGAACATGGATTTTAAAAGAATATTTACATTATTATTTTCTTTGAGTTTTATAGTGTGACGCCTCTTAGTTTTATGTAAAAAAAATATTTATTATTTATCTATTCGACACAAAAATAACTCATTTTAATGTATATTTAATCTCAATAATTGAATATACTGACGATTAGTTTGACACAATTGTCACTTATTTAACATTTTAAAAAGAATTGTATTGGGTGACCAAAATATGAACTACCTAGAACAGATATGAAATATATCCGTTTAAATGAATGCAATAGCATACTTTTTCGTTTTGTATTCTGTACGTAGATAAGCTAATATCCATGTGGACTAAAAAAAATTATTGTTTGATCTAAGAACAAACCCTGGATATTTAGAACCAGTGACTTTTATAAATTAGCGACAGCAAATTTAATAGTATTATTTTATTTATTATCGTATATTTTTTAATTAGCTTCAATTTTTTTATTTAGATAACTTTTGTACGGCCCGATTAAACTCTGGTGCATATTAGAAATATATACAAATTCCTATCATCTGTAAAAGAAGATGCCTTTAAAAGTCTTCTAAATTTATATATCGTTAATGAATTAAAAACTCAACGAATTTTGCAGAAAACATATGTGTACTACTGCTCAATATATCTATATTAAAATACAAAAATTTTTACGGGGTTAAAAAAACATATATTTTTAAATAATTTAATTTATCCCGTTCCTGGGGTACGCCAATGCAATTTATTTATACTCCGCTGCGACTAACAAACGTGTACGGCCTTCAGTCCTGCAGTATATCCCCTCCCTTACCTCACACATCACGTCTTTCCTCTCCTGATCACCAAATCGACTAATTTGATGTTGGCATCATAGATATTCTATTTTATGAATGAGTAGTTATATCTCCCTTGTTATCTCTGGTTATATAAAATAGTAGATACGAAAGCAGCTCGTCATGAAGCAACTTTCATGTGCAACATTATATCCGAATTAATTGATGAAATTGGCTTAGAAAAAAATATGTCAATTACAACAGACAATGAAAGAAACATGACAGCTAGCTGGAATTTACTTGCAGAAAAGTATTGCCATTTATATGTAGATCTAAAGAAGCCCTATTTGCTAACGACTTTTGTATGGACCAGTCTAAAAAATGGAAAACTGTTAGCAGTGACTTGGTGGAAATTGATTTGTTTAACAACAAAGTTAAGCAAAGCAGCTGTAAAAGTATTAAACTGCCCACCGTCAACTGCTGCCACAGAACAAAGCTTATTAACGTATGGAAATGTCAATACAAATAAAAGGAATCGACTAACAAATTAAAGGGCACAAAAAATGTTCATATCAGACAAAATTTAAATATAGCGGAATGTTCATCCAGTTCATTACAATCTCCTTTGGAGTCTGAATCTGAATCCGACTGGTCTAAAGTAGATAGCAAAACTGAACTAGATAAAATAGTTGATTTAGAGATCTCATTTAGTCCAGCTCATTGTGAAATGCCAACGTAACATATGCATAATATAATTAATAAAACATAACCTAATATAATTCTTATAAAATTTAAATACATTTTCTTATACAAAGTACGAGGAACTTGAGTTTTATTTAGATTAAGCATCTGCACAAACAATAAAATTTCATTTGATGTTTTGTTTTCTTTCGCGTTTTGTATTACTTAAACCTAAATTTAAATTATATTTAGTAACAAATAATTAGTTTTATTCACAAACAAATGAAACATTCTATGCTAGACACAGACACACACCTTAATTTCATTTCGAAGTCATTATTAGTCATGTTTATGTATAAAATATATTACGGTAAATTACCACAGTAATTTACGACACAAATTTATTACCATGGTAATTAATTTTGGTAATTTTACATCACTGTATATGGGTGTTGCGTTTAAAAAAAATTAGTAAATTGAACTTAAAATTAGCCATATTTAAGACAAGTTTCAAAACACTCTGTATAAAATAAATCAGTTCTATCACCACTATTCGTTAGATTAGTATATTGTCTGTATATTAAACAATTTTGAAATCAATGTAAACCTACCTAAATTATGATAATTTAATTTGTGGTCTGCATCATTATCTAATTTTATAAAAAAATTAATTGCTTGGCAAATCTGCAATATTTATGTTACCAAACCATTTTAAAACTAAAATAGAATACAGGGTGTTCCATTTAAAAGATGTACATTTTTATTTGCCAGGCAAAACTGCAAAAATATTTTTAAAGTACGTATTTTTTAAATCCATTCAACTTTTATATGAAACTTGTTTGCGTGTCTATAAAATAAATTGAAATAATGAACAATTACGCACTAATACGACACCCTATAAAAAAAAATGTTTCAAGTTGTGTGTGAAAAATGTACGTTCAACCTCTAAACAGAGATACAATAGGTTATACAAAATAAACGGAAGAGGCCTGTAATAACTAGACAGGAAAGTCATGTGTTGGACACATCAATTTTTACTTGAAATATGTTAGGTATTTAAAAAACACATTATCAATCTATATAACTATGCATAATTGACCCAAACGAAGCCCTGAGGCAACTATTTTGTTTGAAATGCCTAATTAAATTGATGGAATTCTCACACTGTGCAATTTGTGTCAGTTATGAATTTAGTATAAATAGTAAAGACCAAACACATAACGAAACTATATTCAGCAGAGAATCATTGTTAGGTACAAGTATAAACAAATTTAAATAGTTAAATTCACTAAATATGGATAGGAGGTTTGCTTTCTCATTTCCCAACACTCCCTCATGTCCCAGTACCCATTCAAGAGTAACCTTATGATGTTTATCAGAGTCTGGAGGGATTGTTTGCTGTATAATCATTTAGCATTATCTTGGCACAGGCATTTATTGCTGTTATTTCAGCCTGGAATAGATCATGTTTAAACTAATGGCAATCTCTGAGTTCGCAATGGTAAATTCCAGCTCCTGTGCTGTTTTGTATCTTCGAACAGTGTGTATACCAGATTGATTCGTTTTGTAATTCCGTATCTTCTGGTATTTTAATATCGAAAGGTTTCATAAAATCATGAAGAATAGGTATTCTACCTGATTGCATTAAAAACACCTGCTTTTGTTATAATTTGTCTAATATCATTGTATGGTATGATTTTCTAATAGTTTCCATTTTTTAAAAATGAATCACTTGTTCTTTCTCTTATCCACTAGACGTGCCTGAAGATGGAATACTGCGAGATATGAAGAACTATTTTCTTCGCCTCATAAAAAAAAGTTTTACTTTTTTGCAAAACAAACATAAGATTTTTCAGTATTTCTCACTCACTTGCACCTGCTTGGCTGAATTTTAAAACTTTAAAAATTTAACTTTTCTAATACCTCGTATAGTAATAAATAAACAGAACGGTTTTTGGCTTCTCCTGTAAAATGTTACTTACTTTTGGGCTTACGAGGTATTAGAACGACACCGGCGATATATCTGATACATATAGGATATATATCTGATACATATCGGATATATATCTGATACATATCGGATATATATCCGATATATATCATTTTAAAAATTTAATTATTTCATTAAAAAACAGTATTGTTTCTTGCACAAACTATATTTTAAATTTTAACACAAACATATTAGCAAAAACCTATATTCTAAACGACAAAACTGTTTATTTAATTTCAGATTAAAAAGAAAAAAGAAAAATAATTAATAAAAAAACATTTTATCATTATTTTATTAACATTAATATTTTAACACAAACACATATAAATTGCTAATTATTATACTTTTATTCAAGGGCGTATTGACATTTTCGGATGTTCAGAATGGTGGAAAACATTTTTAATTAAAGAAATAAAATTATCGAATATATCAGATATATAGGGGTATATTCTGTAACAATTCCTTTATATTTAACGGCCTTTAAAAATATTGGCGGCCTTTAAAAGTATATTTGAATTCGTTAATTTACTTATGTCATTACTTAAACAGATTTCTTTAAGATAGTCCTCTAATGTATTTTAAAAATCCGTTTAAATAATGACAGAAGTAAAGAAGAAAATATTTTTAAAGGCCGTTAAATATAAAGGAATTGTTACAGAATAGACCCCATATCAAGGTATAAATATCATGATATATATCGTGATATATATCGTGATATATATCATGATATATATCACTTGATATACATATATCCTCCGAACCCTGAATAAAAGTAGCTGTTTTTAATTACAATTGTGTTCTTACCTGTGTTCTCAATCTGTACCTCTCCTTTTCTTGTTCTGTGAAAAGATCCTTCATTATTTGTGGCAACGATTGTGGGTGGTTTACGTTGGGACTGGTAGGAGCAGTACCCGCTAACACATAAGTACATCTATTCATTAAGTAGTCTTTAAAGCCCTGAGGTGGCTTCGGCTGAACTGGAAATAATCCTCTCCGTCTTTTTGCAATCTAAATTGATTAAGAAAAAATACAATTTCAACATTTTAACAAAACGCTAAACATTCGTTTACTTACTTGTTTTCTGATATTTAAAAATAGCTGATAACAATTTGTTATAGGCTGCTCATGAGGATGTACTTGAGCTTCGGAAGATTCTGAGGTCTCACAGTGTTGTGGAGGTTGATGTTCTTTATTCTGCTTCATTTTTCGTTTGCGAGGATGCAATTCTACGGGAGGTGGTGGTGGAGGCAATGCAGCCGAGACCGATGTTGATGACGAAGGTATTGAATCAGTTTCAACATTTGACTGAACCTATAAAATAGATGAAATGTATTTATTTCATTATCCATCAAATCAATATTTGCATAAGTAGTGAAAATATTACCTCATCGGAAGTTCCACTAGTATTTTCCTTTTTCTCATCACTTTTACTAGAAGTTGTAGTATTTTCAGGGCTGGTAATATTAGCATTTCCATCTTTTTCAGTAGTTTCTGTATTGGTCGAACTGGGAACAACATATGGGAGAGCTTGATGAGATCTTTGTGAACTGCTTTTTCCATTTCGACCCACGCCAGTTTCTTGTTCGTTACTGTTAGTTTGGGGAATAACAATTTTTAGAGGAGGAACCTAAAACAGAATTGTTGAAACTCGTACATTTTTATGAGATAAGTTATATCATTTGTATTACTTTGAGATCAGTTTTACCATCTTCCACTTCATGATCTGAGCCGGAAAGTTTTGGACTTGCACAAGGACTTTTTCTATCCCCACTGTTTTTGGAAGAGTTGGAAGCATTGGCTTTATTTTGATTACCACCCGCTTGCTTACTGGTCTGTCCTTTACTTTGACCTATAAAAGTTTCAATGTTATTATACAATTATTGCAATTTAGAAAGGTAAGAGTCACAAAGTGTTTTTACGCTTGTGCGCAAAAGTTCATTACGAGCTATGGAGAAAAATCATAATTGACTCTGTTCAAAATGTTTAACCACTTCTAACTGCATTAATGTTATACAGGGTTGGCCAAACCTCTGTCGTAGTTCTATAACTCCTATTATGCAAATCTTAACGATTTATTCAAAGTATACCTGTCAATGGTGGTCAAAACCAAGTATCCCAAAATTATTTTCTTGTGTACAGGGTGGCCCAATAGTAAATTAGGCAAATCACTTATTTTTTTTTTAAATGGAATGACCCATCTTTTTTCCAATTTTAGGTACTCTATGATCACTAGTGCATACCCACAAAATATTGTTTCTAACGTCGTACCCCTTTCGCCGAAAAAGAAGAAATACCAAAAAATATTACATTTTCAGACGCCTATTAAAATATGCAGTGCTCTCTCGAATTTGACGTTAGAATTTAAAAAACTACAAATGTATAAAGCCAATAGACCAAAGTTTTTTTAGACCAAGTTTTAATTTTTTATTTTGTACAGGGTGGTCACAAATTAATTTCAATTTCCAAAAATTTCTAGGACATTTTTTTCAAATAGAACACCCTGTATTACTCATATTATTCATCGATGAAACGAGAATTTTATACCCTTCGACTTCCCCATGTACTTTCCTATACCTATCTGTCGTCGTTTAAAAGTAAATTCCAAAAAGACATTGATCTATCAAAAATCCAATTTCTACCAGTGGTTTTATTGAAAGTGAACATTCAATCAAGTAGGCTGGGTCTTAATGAAGTGTCAGATTATTTATTAATGAAGTGTCAAGTTATTTTTACTGATCGCGATAATTCTTCTATTAATAATGAATTTTACGAAAAACGAATTAATTGACATGGTCTATGTTTTGGGAGAATCCGACAGAAATTGTTTATTGGCAAAAATAATTTATCATCAACGATATCCCGATAGACGCATCCCTGATCAAAAAAGTTTTGAAAAGTTACATGAAAGATTTACCGAAACAGGAAATGTTGCTTATAAAAAACCAATAATTGACAAACGTGCTACTGATAATGATAACCAATTATCTGTAATTTTGACAGCGATAGAAGATCCTCATGTAAGTCAAAAAAAGATTGCCGAAGTAGTAGGTATAAGTAGAACATCCGTTAGAAGGATTTTAAAACAGCATAAATATCATCCTTATAAAATACAATTGCATCAAGAGCTGAAAGACACCGATTTTGATGATAGAATGGTGTTTTGTAACTGGGCACAAACTAAACTGCAACAAAATCCATTTTTTTTTATAGAGTGCTGTTTTCTGATGAATCTACATTCCACAAGAACGGATTCGTTAATAGACATAATTTCCACTATTATTCCACGGAAAATCCTAACATCATCAGAACACATAGCCAAGAAAGATGGAGTGTAAATGTTTGGGGAGGTATAATTGGGGATCATGTTATTGGGCCGTATTTTTTTGAAGGCAACTTAAATGGTCTGATGTATTTAGATTTTTTAGCAAGTCATCTTCCTACTTTACTTGAAAACATTTCCCTTGCTGTAAGACTAACAATGTGGTACCAACATGATGGGGCAGCAGCGCATTTTTTACGCGAAGTGGCAGATGAATTAGATGAAAAGTTTCCAAAGATGGATTGGTAGAAATGGTCCAAAAAAATGGCCAGCTCGATCACCTGACTTAACAAAACCCGATTATTTTTTGTGGGGTTATATTAAAAATCTAGTCTATCTTACGCCACCTACAACATCTGAAAATATGAAAGAAAGGATAGTGCAAGCTTTCCATTCCATTACACCTGATATGCTTAGAAACGTTTCTCGATCATTCGCCCAACGAATAAATGTATGCTTTAGAGAAAATGGCAGACATTTTGAGCATCTTTTATAAAGTGTAAATTTATGTATTAGGATAAATTTCAAATAAATTTTATTATCGTAATTTTCTTCCTTTTGAATTTATTTTATAACGGCGACAGATAGGTATAGGAAAGTACATAGGGAAGTGGAAGGGTATGAAATTCTCCTTCTGTTGATGAATAGAAATACAGGGTAATACATTTGAAAAATTTTAAAAAATTTCCCTCGAAATTTTTGGAAAGTGAAATTAATTTGTGACCACCCTGTACAAAATAAAAAAATCAAACTTGGTCCAAAAAAATCTTTGGTCTATTGGCTTTATACAATCGTAGTTTTTTAAATTCTAACATAAAATTCGAGAGAGCACTGCATATTTTAATAGGCGTCTGAAAATGTAATATTTTTTGGTAATTTTTTTTTTCTGCGAAAGGGGTGGGATGTTAGAAACAATATTTTGTGGGTATGTACTAGTGACCATAGAGTACCTAAAATTGTAAAAAAAGTTAGGTCATTCCATTTAAAAAAAAATTAAGTGATTTGCCTAATTTACTATTGGGCCACCCTGTACACAAGAAAATAATTTTGGGATATTTGGTATTGGCTACCATTGACAGGTATACATCAAATAAATCGTTAAGATTTGCATAGTAGGAGTTATAGAACTACGACAGAGGTTTGGTCAACCCTGTATAACTATACTTCACTGACATGCTATGTACATTTTCTTTACATATATAAGTACAATAAACGAATTATTTTTATTTACCTGTATTTCTCTGAGTAGCTCCTTTCCCTTCTTTGACATTTTCTTCTTTGCGTTTCTTCCTTCGCGTTTCTTCATCAGCAGTACCGGCGCTGCTAGTGGAATCTTCTTGACCTTCATTGGTTTCAGAAAATCCCCTTTTGGTAGTCGTAGAAGTTTCTTCCGAGGCCTGCGACGCAACAGGAGTAATTCTCAGGGGATCTCCCTCGTCTATGTCCATTTCGTTAGAATCGGATGCTGCGTTTGGTTTTCGTTCGTCTGACGAAGAATCGCCCTAAAAATTACAATAATTATGCTTAAAATATCGTGCACATAATGCAACGTTATGGGTATTTAAAAGTTAAATCTAAAGGGATTGGAGAAAAACAGCTAGAACTAAAATTTATATTTTTTATACGTTCAAATAATGTTTTCCATTATATTTCACTAATAAAATTAAGTACGATTATAAAATACGGATATAAAAAGGCAGTTTGCATATTAACTGTATGTGCAGTAATACTAAATAAATAAAAAGTGAGAAAAATTGAGACCAAGCCATAAAAATTGAAAAAAAAAACCATTAATTTAATGCCTGTCAATATATATTTGATTGACCTATGTTTATATCTAACCTTCTCTTATATACTAAAAGGCGAAGTGGTGCAATTGTATACGGTTCTGGTTTTAACTTGGTTCGAGTCTACTTAGGATATCTTTTTTATTTTTCTCAAGTGGTATTAATTAAATTAGACAAGGTTTATTGATTAAATAAAATTTAAATCTTAATTAATTAAAAATATTTGAAATAATTATTTTTAAAATAAAAGTATTTTATTTTATTGACATTAAGGACGCCACAGCACTTCCGGTTTTTGATTCAATGATTTAAATGTGAATTTTAGTTAATCCTTTCCTACGTAGATGTAGCTACACTCTTTAACCTCCATATTTTGTCCATTATATCGCAAAAATCGGCCAGCTAAATAATATACGCAACATACTCCTATTTTATGTTTTCAAATAAGTTGGTCTGGTGAAAAAGATTTGTCAACACCGCATATTTATTGAAATATATTATTAGGCAGTCTACCAATTCTTTAGCGAGGTTTTTCTCGTTTACGGTGAATTAAATATTTAGCTGTCTAATTAGGGTACAGCAGGTACTTGGAATAATCCGATTAAATAATAATCAAGAATTTGTTAGTAGCACTGACCTTCCCTAATCTATTATAAATAGGTAGGTATATTTACCCCTATTTCCAAATAATGATTGAAATAAATAAGTATATATGTGGGCTATTTGTTTTATTTATTTTAGTTATGTGTATTTTTGATTTGTGTTCGGAAGTTTAATTTGAGTGTTTATTATATTTCCAGTATATTTTTATTATTTTTCGTTAATTTTACATTAACTGTGTAGTTTTTTGTGTACTAAATTTGGGTGGTAAGTACCTATTACTATTATTAAACTATAATTTAAATTCATTATTTAAAAAAATATGGTTTGTGGATTGAAGTCTCCAAAAAAATCTATCGAAATCAGGTGTTAGGTCATTTTAACTTTATACCGAGTTCACCTGAAAATTTTGGATGGCTTTATTTTTGGTAAAATTTAAATTGGAATCTTGAATTTTTGGGGGTGAGGCAGGGTATCGAGGCAAGAAATTTCACATTCTTTTCATACATAACTCCCTTGATTTTTCCTGGCAAATAACATTGATTATTAAAATTTGGCCATAATATTCAGAAAAATATGTAGAATGCTATAAAGTTTTTTGAACTACATCTGTGACTATCACTTTTTTATATTTTTTAATAGTATTTAATAAATAGCAGGACAAATGAAAATGTCTCATTTCAATCATTAAACATTTTTCTATAATCTGCCAAAGTTTCATTAAAATCCATCCAGTGAAAAATAAGTTCTGTAAAAAATCGTAAACCTATGTTTTGACCACGTAAAATACACTGAAATGGCGCCCTTAAAGTTTTTCTACGCCCACATGTATATTATCAACTTATTGCACAAACTACAGAACGAATAAGTAGAGGATATTAGTCTACTGTATGGATACGATTTAATAGGTATCCATTCTAGTAAGGATATGAAATCCACCAATCATAGCTAACATTTAGTATTCGGCCGTCAATTTTTTTTTTTAATTTGGTGTCATCGGCATCGACTACCAAGGCCACTAGCCTCGTGTTCTGTGTAGGCTTTGTTACTGTTTCCCAGTGCCACTTTAGGAACAGCACTGTTAATTAGAACCCAACAGTGAATGGTCGAGTGGGGAATCCTACCAAGGCACTAATTAAATTAAAAAAATACGTGTGGCACTCAGGGACTGCCGCGGTAAAGCTATTGCATAGCATTTTTTATCAACTTATGCAATTATAATTATTTATTTATTTTATGTATGCAGTATTTTTTTTTCGTTTATATTAATTCAAGTTTTTTCTTTGATAATAATTCAAGTTACACTTTTTGAGCGTGGTGACCGATAAGAAAACAATTTTTTTCTTTTACTAAATAAATGAGAAGTTATTATTGTTTAAAATATTTGTATTATCTTACAATACATGTAGGTTATTCAGGAATTGTTATCATTGAAACTATAGGTTTATGGTAACTGAAATAAGAAACATAAGTTTGAGACTTGATATCCTCTAAATATCTGGAACATACCGCGTCAATGGTGGTCCCATAATTTGTTGTGGATTCTTGTGGATCATTATTCATTTTCAAATTCAATTTTTCCGAAATTGTGTCTAAAAGAGATAGAATCAGTTATGAGCAGGTAGCAGCTAGTCTACACGCATACGTCTAGTCGCACGCACACAAACACCGTGCCGAAGTCTACCGAACTGAAACGACGTTAGACGATGCACGGCTTTCAACGCCGCACCGCTGTGCCGGTCGGAGTAGGGGGTGTTAGGTTTATTTTCGTTACGGAATTTCTTCTTCGATTTTTCAATTTTCTTTTATTGAATAAATGAGAAGTTAATATTGTTTAACGCCGCACCGCTGTGACGGTCGGAGTGGGGGGGTGTTAGGTTTTTCCGTTACACGTTACGGAATTTCTTGATTCGGTCGCCGCGCTCAAAGCCTGCGATAAAAGCTATACGTTTGTCTTTTTTTCCACCAGTTTGTTGGAATCGCTGTACGTGTGTCGTTTTTTTCCACCGTTGTTTCACATGCGACCTTGAACGCCTTGTGTTGGATTCGATTTATTTATGATTGACCGTTGAAATAAATAACAATTGACATTTTGGAATAAAATTTGTGTTTATAATTTTATTTCAATGTACCTAGGTACTTTAATTTGGACGAATATATTTTTTAAAGTTCATTTTTTTCTGTTTTTTCCACAAATAACAATTAAATAATTAATTAACTCCTTAATTCTGATTAATTCCCGCAATACAGCTGTCAGTTGTCACATCTAATCGTAAAAACCATACATTGAAGCTGATGGACTGGTGTTGCATCGATTGCATCAACGTTTGATAAAAAGACAGCGCTGTTAGTTCATCATTGATAGATTGATGAATAAAAAGACAGGTAGATACCGCACCGATGCCAACGTTACTGCAACAGTTAGATAAAAAGACACACGTTATGCAATAGCTTAAAAATGTTACGTGTTGAACTGGAAGTTGTGGATACAAACAATAGCATATTAACAAAAAAAATATGTATGTATATATTTATTTATACTTATTCCTAAAAAGAAATAAAAATCATTTTGTTTATGTTACAGGTTAAGCAGGAAGCTAGGGATATAAGTAATAGTTTTCAATCATTTGGTGTATATTGTTCCTTGACTCTGAATTAATCCAATTTCTAACCAATTTTTTGAACAAGTATTTCGAGTTTTTCGATTTTCTTTTATTGAAAAAAATGAGAAGTTAATATTGTTTAACGCCGCACCGCTGTGCCGGTCGGAGTGGGGGTGTTAGGTTTTTTTCGTTACGCGTTACGGAATTTCTTGATTCGGTCGCCGCGCTCAAAGCCCACGATAAAAGCTATGCAAGCTTAATAAAAAAATCCCGGCCAACGGTGGGACTAAAACCTGGGACCCTTGCATCCACAGGCAGACTCTACCACTGAGCCACCCACCCCTTTCGGCCGACTATTATATTTTATTATTTTAAATAAGTAACAATTCTGTCAAACTCATTGTCAGTATATTTTTTTATACCCACATAGTTATTAGAGAGTTGAAGTGTTTCTAGTACGTTAACGTAAACGTTAACGCAGAAAAACAATATTTACGTCGAAGTCCAAAATATGAGTTGAAACAGGGCTGGTATATCTAAGGGGGTCGCGACATAGGAGTCCATTTTGGACGCCATTTTTTAGTAGTCACATAGTAGTCGCCCATTGATCTGGCAACGTGGCAACCTGTAGTCGCCAGGCTTACCAATATATGAAAAAAATCAATATTTTTTTTAAATTACATTTTCATTATAAAATGCCCATATTTTTTAGGTTAAAATATTTTAATTTAATAAATTATTAATAATCCTTTCCTCCATGTTAATAATCTCACATGTATATAGAATACGTCGTGAAAAGTAGAATACGTCGTGAAAAGTAGAACACTTTCAATTTTGTGCTGTTTTGGTTTATTTTAAAAGGTAATTGAGGATATGAAGACAATTTTCGTATAGATGGGGATGCATAACAAATTATGGCTCCCTTTTTTAGAGCTCCAGTCCCCTAAGTCTATTTATTTTAGGTCTTTTTAAATTGTTGGTGGGTATTATTCACTTAATTTTTATGTTTTTATTTAATTTAAATAATTTTGTGTAATATCTTGCGATTTGTTTTCTATACATTTTAGCATGTATTTGTTGGCTCTTACAAAGAATTGGTTTGAAATATCTTTACAACAGAGGTAGGTACTTTCCTAAAACTGGCCGAAATTTGAAACTGAATACAGTTCTTAGAGAAAATCTCCAGTAAAAAATGTCTGCATGCAGAATAACAGTAGCATAGATTAACAAAGCTGGCAAAAGAGTTGGACAAACCTTTGTCAAGCTTTTTTAATATTTCAGGACAATAGTGTTAACAGCAGACCACAACAATAACAATCAAAGTTTAGTAATCAAGCAAAATATTTCAGTATCTCCAGAATTATAAATGTATGAAAACTCTAATAGAAAACATGTATGGCTTCGAATAGGAAATTACCTAAATTAGCATATCTAGTGAATGAATATTGTATTTAAAGAATATATTTTTAATCAAAACTTTTGTGCTTCTACTCCAATACTAACCATATTACC